GCTTGTAATTGTCATTATTTTTTTAATGATAATTTTCATATATTTATATTGTTTGAGTTTAACCAATAATAATAAAAAATATATTATCGTTTTATGTTTTATTTTTTTTTTTGTTCAAAAGGAATTACTATTACTTGATTTTTATTCTTTCGATCAAAAACAATTGTTATTTACTTTTGTTATTTCACTTAAGAATAGTGATTAATTAAAAAACTGAAAAATTATACTAGCATTTGTGTTCGAAAAAATTAGAATCAAATAATTTATGCTAAGCGAAAAAATAAAACTCATAAAGTATATATGTATATTCTCAATTTGACTTCCGTTATCTATTCAAAGGTCTTCTTTCTAATACAACTTCCAAACACGTTTTTTTTTTGAAAAGGCTCTGCCTGGAAGCGTTGTTAATTTTGCCGTCGCCTAGATTAATACCCCAGAAAACAATCACAGTAGTCAATACTGCGTCAGTATAATTTCGTATAAATATTCCTATTCTAAAACTGGCCTTGAAGTTCTGAGCATTCCACAAAATTTCCACATCGATGAGCACGGAGGACCTATCGCTTCAAAAGAACAAAAGGAAGGGCACCTTTTTTTTCTTTTTCATTATGTTTTGCCAACTTCGTCAATTTCAGACAGTGTACACAATTCAAAAATATTTTTAAAAATTCCCTAACGTAAATAAAATTATCCAGTGAAATACTAAAAAAAAATTAAAGTTATAGGCATCATTCATATTATATTTTTTTATTATCAATCATTCAAAAGAAAATCGTGATTTGTATACGTTATATTACAATTGAAATTACTTTATACTTGATAGTTATTTAAGAGTAATTAAAATAGTAAATTAAAAATATTCAAAAAAAAAAACAAAGTAATAACTAATAGGGAAAATTATGTTATAAACAATAGTATAAATTATGCGTTTTCAAACGGATGAGGAATATGTTTATGCTGGTATAAATGAAAATAAAAACGCAAAATACTTGAAGTATTCAATAGTTATTGGTTAAACATTTTCGTAATTTTACAAATAATTTAAAGTTAAGGAAAATGTTTATTAAAGTGTGTAAAACTTACAAAAAACAAAAATTTAATACAAAACATATTGTAGGAGTCCACAGCTTTCTGTTCATTAGATTTCCATGGTAGGATAATTAATCTTCAGTGTATTTTAATGTTCTAAAGTTTAGAATCTAAACTGATTAAAAAATCCAACAGATAACCCTATAACCTGGCAGATGTGGACACCTAAATTGTTTCTTTTCGTTAAATTTGTTTTAAATTATCTACATATAAGATTTTATTTTTATTGTTCATGTTATGAAAACATGCGATTTTGAGACAGTTTTAGAGCTATGGAAAATTTGGCCATTTAAAAAAGTTGTTTTAGTCATAGTTTAATTTTTTATTTCATTTTTTTTTTTTTTTTTTGAAAAGTGTTATGGTTTTTGAGCAAATGTTCTCAAGTGAAAACCTGAACTTTTATTCTTAATTTTTAGTTTTCGTCTAACCATCATTAAAAATTCAAAAAAATAAATTGTATAAAGTCCTTTAATTTCATTTCACATTTCATTCTGTTTTGCATTTTAAAATATATGTATGTATATCTATGCGTATGCATTTGTTTCATGCATTTTAGGTTAGTATTTACTTATTGCTTGCATATGTGTGTATGTGTTTAAAACTGCTTATGAAATTTTAAAATGTTTTTTTATTTGTTATTGCGTTGCATTCACTGTCATCAATACAAGTACGATGTTATCGTAACTTTGATAACTGCTAAAACGCTCAACAATTGGTTAACGTATTACAGGAGCAAAGCTGCGGGATTAGAGTTGATTTTTGTTGCCGTTTCTGTTTTTTTTTTTGTTTTTTTTTTCACAAAACATTTGGTGGAAACTAACCATTTCCTTAATAATAATTTTAAACCCGCTATTTCTAAAGGCATGCAGACATTTCTTCAACATAATACGTATCCTTTTCTTTAAAATAGATGCATCTCTCCAATAATTATTTTTTTATAAAACAAACGATGCGGATAAAATGCATAGAAATTGTGTTTTAATTTCTTTAAATATTTTTAAAAACATTTTTCTTTTTACACGGCTTGGTTAGTCAGCTATGTATTTATAAGGTTGTTTGCAAGCGTCCCAAAAAAATTTACGTATCTACCTAAACTAATTTTTATTTTTTGATTTTTTTTCTGTTAAACGAAACATCTCAACTTCTTTGCGTTAAGCAAACTATAGTTTTGCATTTGTTTTTAATAATGTAATAAACTCGACGCAAGCTAGATTTTTATTAATGTAAATATGTATATTCGCGTACATGCATATGTAAATATTTATAAATAATTTCTCATTTTCCACGTTTCACTTAAATAGTATGTGTTTGTTGTCTCATTTTATTACGTAGTGTATTTATGCTTGTATGTATGTATGTATATGTGTAACTAGCAGAACTAACTGTTCTATGTATTTCATAATTTTCACTTAAAAACTAGCATACAATCAAATTAAACAGCGCTGATAACACACCGGCCGACAAACATTTGAACAAGTAGAGTTTAAAACATTATTTTTGCTTTCAAGAAAGTCGAATATTTTTAAAATTTTAAATAAGTGTCCCAATGACCATCATTTTGAACAGTCTTCCACTTGTGTACTGCATGCAAAAAGTCTTCCACTTGTGTACGGGTATGTGTATATGTATGTATGTATGTATATAACGCAAGGGCATTACAAGATTTTGCTCGATTTTTTTATTTGCCATAGCTTGGCTTAGCTGCTTTTAACATCAACACCAATCCGCTGTGTACGTAAAATCTTGGAAGAACATTTGCTCTTCGTCAGTCAAATGTCTTGGTTCTTTTGGAGGCGTCAGGTGTGGTTTTTCGGAAGTAAATTCTTCATCGAAATTCGACACATCCTCGAGATGGTTCTGAAAAATTTAAATTTTATTTTTACTTAAAATCAGTAATATTTTTAGTCCTCAAATAGTATTGGGAAATGTTGCTGAAGTGGCAGATATACAATGACTCAAACAAGTCTTCACATGTTAATTTTTGTTTAGTATTCTCGATATTTTTCTAGTTAAAATTTTTTGTTGTTTTTTAAATGAAAATTTCGTTCTTGCTTTAACCAAAAACCATACAAATCAAAATTTCAAACTTAAAAAAAAGTTCAAAATCACAAAATTTATAACAATTCCAAAAAACTCAAAATTTCGAACTGTTTAATCTGAATCTGGAGTACCATTTCATACACACAGTGGTCGAAATAATTATAGCCGCACCACATTTTGACAAGTTTTAATATATTATTTTTGTTGTTATTTATTTTTGGTTATTTCTTTATAAAAATTCATTAATTCAACAAAACCCGTGAAATAAAAAAAAATAAAAAATTTAACAAACTTTCGTGCACTTTTTTTCGAAGATGTTGGAAGAACATCAGACAAAAAATTAAAAAAATCAACGGTAATTTTTAGCCATTTGAAAACTGCACTTTATTCTAATAGAATTCAATGGGCTATAAAACTGCATACTCAGAATCTATGTAGGAAATCTAATTAAAACAGCTAGCAATTTTTACTACAGTTTGTTATTTTTTTTTTAATATTGCACAAAGTTTGGAACTTTTGGAATACGGGCTTTGTTAAAGCAAGAACTATATTTTTATAAAAAATAACCAAAATTAAATAACAACAAATATAATATGTTAAAACTTGTCAAATTTGGTGCGGCTAAATTATTTCGACCACTGTAGTATGTACTCTTCTTGGATACGTAGGCGTCATGTCGAGATCAGAGAGCGCTGCATAGGGGTTCGAAATTGTCATTTTGTGTTCACAATTCACTGGAGCCCTAATTTTTCACTCAATTTGATAAGATTTTTCTTTACTGAAAGCTAATAAAATTTGCAGAGACCAGTTGAGCCCGATTTTTAAAAGTTTTTTTTTTGCTTGTATTAAATTTTTTATTGCAAAGAGCAAACAAATTAGCAATTTTGAAGAAAATCGATTCTCCCGTTTCAGTTAATAAATCTTACATAATAAAAACTAGTTGAAAACAATTGTAGAGTTCTCCCAAAACGAAAAAAAAATTTTAATGTAAATTTTTTTACCAAAATCAATTTTATTTTTTTGCTTTTATAAAAATTTTGGGTATGCGGTTTCACACATCATTAAATTTTAGTATAATAAAGTGCAAGTTGCAAGTGGCTAAGAGTTCGCAGTGATTTTTAATGATATGTATAACAACGCTTTTATTTCCTATTTAGCAAGCAGATGTGCTTGAAATGATAGCGAAAAAAATTATTAAAAATCAACGCGACCTCTTAGCCACTTGCAAATTGTACTTTATTATACTAAAATTTAAAGATCTATAAAACTGTGTACCCAACATTTTTCTAGAAAATCTATTTTTTTTTTTAATTTTGGAAAACCTTTTTTATAGCATTTAAAATTTTTGTGAAGTTTTTTTTTCGTTTTGGAGGAACTTTATAACTGTGTATAACTAGTTTTTATTATCTAACATTTATTACTTTTTTTGCACTTTACACTAAAAAAATTTAATACAAAGAAACAAAATCTCAAAAACCGGGTTCAACTGGTCTCTTGCAAATTTTATTAGCTTTCATAAACAAAAATTAAATTGAGTGAAAAATTAAGGCTCCAGTAAATTGTGAATACAAAATGTCAATTGTGCGCTGGTAGAAAGTCAGGGCATTTGCAAACGCAAGATTGTATTTGCTGTTGAAACAGAAAAAATCCCTATAGAGGTTTACTGTTGCAGTCATTGGCCAGAAACGAAAAAACCGCCAGCGGTTCCTAGGCTCTTATACAGCAGTGTTTACGAGTATAGCAACGTGAAGTATTTACAAATTGTGGCACTTTAATTTTGTCTTATATAATTTTAATAATGTTATTTTTTATAAAAATATGTTAATTCTACAATAAAAAACATACAAATCATACTTTTATACTTTTTATTCAGACTGCTAGGAAAAATTTTAGCTATGCCTAAACAAATATTTGGCTCTTAGACTTCTCCTCCAATTTGTGATATGCGTATTGAAAAGCGCAGCAACGTCAACGAAAAAAATTCTCAAAAATCAACAGGATTTTGAACTACTTCAAACTTGCACTATATTGTACTAAAATTGAATTGGCTATAAAATATAAATCTGCATACCCTAAAGTTTTCTAAAAATTCGGATTTTTTTTTTAATTAACCGACTCAAAAAAGGAGGAGACTATCAATTATCGATATATTTTATTTTTTTTATTTAAGTCACTGGATAACTTTGGACCACGTGAACTGTTTTCGATAATTCTTTATTGGGAAGGTGGGACATCAAGGGTCGTCTCATACTAACTTGGTTTAGTTCCGATCATTGGTACTCCTAGTACTTCAAAATTGCACAAATTGGAAAGAAGTCTAAGTGCTCAATATTTTTTTAGGCATACCTAAAATTTTTCCTAGCACTCTTAATAAAAAATATGATTTGTATGTTTTTTATTGTAGAATTAACATATTTTTATAAAAAAAAAGCCGTTATTAAAATTACATATATTCATGAAAATGCTGTATAAGAGCCTAGGAACCCCTGGACGTTTTTTCGTTTTTGGCCAACGACTGTCCGGACTGTCAATCCAGCAGTATCCCGCAAAACTCTTTAGAGATTTTTTTCTATTTCAATAGCAAATACAATCTTGCGTTTGCACATGTCCTGACTTTGGCATTTGTATTCACAATTCACTGGAGCCTTCATTTTTCACTCAATTTTATTAATTTTTATAAATTTGTAAGAGACCTGTTGAACCCGATTTTTAGATTTTTTTTTTGTTTGTATTAAATTTAAAGGAAAAAAATTTCCCAAAAATTTGAAATGTTATAAAAAAAAATGTTGCCAAAATTGAAAAACCTTTTTGATTTTCTAGAAAAATGTTAGGTACGCGGTTTTATAGATCTTTAAATTTTGTATAATAAAGTACAATTTGCAAGCGGCTAAGAGGTCGCGTTGATTTTTAATAATTTTTTTCGTTATCACTTCGAGCACATCTGCTTGCTAAATAGGAAATAAAAGCGTTGTTATAAATATTATTAAAAATCAGCACGAACTATTAGCCGGTTGCAACTTGCACTTTGGTACACTAAAATTTAATGATGTGTGAAACTGCATACTTAAATATTTTATAAAAGCAAAAAAAAATTGGTAACTTTTTTTACATTTCAAATTTTTTCGCTTTGGTAGAACCCTACAATTGTTTTATTATGTAAGATTTATTAAATGAAACGGGAGAATCGATCCTCAAAATTGCTAGTTTTTTGCACTTTGCAATAACTCGGGCTCAACTGGTCTGCAAATTTTATTAGTTTCATTAAAATCAAATTGAGTGAAAAATTAAGGCTCCAATGAGTTGTGAACACAAAATGCCAATTTTGAACCCCTGTGCTGCGCTCGCTGATCTCGACATGACGCCTACGTATCCTAGAAGAGTACATACTACAGTGGTCGAAATAATTATAGCCGCACCAAATTTAACAAGTTTTAACATATTATATTTGTTGTTATTTAATTCTGGTTATTTTTTATAAAAATAAATCCAAGTTCCAAACTTTCTGCAATATTTAAAAAAAAAATCAACAAACTTTCGTAAAAATTGCCAGCTGTTTTAATTAGATTTCCTACATAGCTTCTGAGTATGCAGTTTTGTTTGTGGCCCATTGAATTCTAGTATAATACAGTGCAAGTTTCAAATGGCTAAAAATTACCGTTGATTTTTTATAATTTTTTATTTTTTTTTGTCGAAGATGTTATGGTTTTCTTCCATATAGAAATATATGGAGCGTATTCGTTATATGGGACAAAAAAATCTAAAAAATCAACGGTAACTTTTTGGCCATTCATGCTCAGAATCTATGTAGGAAATCTAATTAAAAAAGCTAGAAATTTTTACGAAACTTTGTTGATTTTTTTTTTGGATTCACGCGGGTTTTGCTAAAGAATCAACTATATGTTTATAAAGAAATAACCAAAATTAAATAGCAACAAAAATAATATGTTAAAACTTGTCAAAATGTGGTGAGACTATAATTATTTCGGCCACTGTGTGATTTTCGATCCATCGCACAATAGGTTACTAACACTTTCCCTGTACAAAATTAAATATTGCCTATTCTCCAGTCCGCTATTATCTGACTTTGTCAGTATATTCCAGGCAAATGCGCTAAGAATTGGAGTCGGCCTACATGTGTACTACTTTTGGAGACATGGGATTTTTGGTCAGATCAACAAGCGCTGAGAAAATACCAAAATATGTGCAAACGCAAGGCTGTTGTTGTTGTTGTAATAGTATACAAATTTCCCAAACATTTTGGAGAATACTGCTGCATTGACAAACCACGCAGCCCTTGGAAAGAAAAAAAATTTTAATGCAGTGTTGGTCAAGAGTGTAAAGGAGCACGCGTTATATGCGTGGCGCTAGTTAGTTACTGGGTCAGCGATATTACTACATAGAAATCTATGGATTTGCTCTAGCACCGTAAACATGGAGTTCATGAGTTTCATTTTCCTCGAAGCGGTTCACTTTTCACTATTGGTTCCATGTATTTACTATGGGCGGAAACAATTTTCGGGTAAATTTTTTTTCGGGTGAAACTCAGCATAAGGCAGATAGTTTTCATGAGTATTTCTATGAAAAAAAACGTGCCTTTACTTTGTCAATGGTGGTCGAGAAAGGACAGCTAAGGAATAATTTTCATTGCTTGAGAAAAATATTTTTTAAGCTACCTTTAACCGCCCACTTATGTACTTTATATGTATTTTACAGATACTTACAATGGTGGGCACAAATGGCGGTTTCACCTTGCGCAGCAATAAATCATCCCAACTGATAGAGCGGAAGAACGCTTGCTTCTTGACGTCTTCAGCATCGCGCTCTGATGAACCTAATCTACGTTCTGGATTCTTACGCAGTAACTGAAATGTAAATAATTGTTTATTTATTTTAAGTATAAAAACAGTCATAAAAATAAAGCGATTAAAATTACCCGACGCATGATTGCAATGGCCTCAAGTGATAAAAATCGCGGATAGCGCACTTCATCGTTAACAATTGAGTCGAAAACTTCCTCCTCATCGTCACCCGGGAATGGTGACTGTGAATGGAAATGATTTCAATTATTTTCCTACCAAAAAATAGAGGAATTCGCGTTAACTTACCTCGCCTACAAGCATTTCGAATATCAAAACTCCCAAACCCCACCAGTCCACAGCGCGCGTATATGATGTTTCTGTGAGAACTTCGGGCGCCAAAAATTCGGGCGTCCCACAGAAGGTGCCGGTTCGATCGCCGAAGCCCATACCCTCCTTGCACAAGCCGAAATCAGCGATTTTTACATAACCTGCAGAGAAAGGAGTTTTTTTTTTTTTAATTTGCAAGACCGAAATAAGAAAAGAAAATCTTCTTTGCGTACCATCTGTGTCCAAAAGTAGATTATCGAGCTTCAAATCACGATAAATAATTTTGTTTTCATGCAAATACTGCAGACCCAACACCACGCAAGCGGCGTAGAATACAGCGCGCGGCTCTGAAAATACATCTGTATGTATGTGCATCATCAGATCACCACCAGCCGCATACTCCATAACGAAGCAAACGTGTTGCTGTAATGGAAATGAAATGAAATTCAGTCAAATGTAAGACAAATCAAGGAGAGAAAAGGAATGAGAAACCAAAAGTGTTCAAGTGCTACTCACATCGGTCTGGAAACACGCAAACAAATTGACCAGAAATGGATGACGCATCGCATTGGCTACTTCGAAAATGCGCTTCTCGCTCAACAACGATTCGACTTCGTCACGTGCTATGATGTCGCCCTTTTTCAGCGCTTTGATGGCAAAGTACTGATTATTGCTGCGCAATTGTGACAGTATAACCTTGCCAAAGTGGCCGCGTCCCAAAACGCTGAGCAGCCGGAAATTCTCAATTGCCAGCATACCGGGTGGCCCATTTCCGCCACCCATTGCCTGTGACTGGCGGCGTGATTCGTATGCCGAGTCGCGATATTGCAAACCGCGTGAAACATTGCGACGACCACCGCCAGCCGTTGCAGCGTTTGGTGGCGGCATAGGGACAGCATTGAGTTCATACTGATTCTGGTAGATGGGCTGCTGCTGCTGTTGTTGTTGCTGCTGGTAGACTGTGGCTGTAGGTGCTGCATAGTTTTGGCGCTGTGCCGCCTGTGGGAAATGAGGCCCTTGCCCAGCCGACTGTCCATAGACTGTAGGTGTGGGCGGCTCTTGGATGATCGGCGAATCTGGTACATATTGCTTCTGTTGCTGGTTGTTGTTGCTGCTGACCGATAAATTTCCAAATTGTGGTATAATCTAAAATATGCAATATCTGATTAGAGTCAGTTTTCAAAAAAGCATAGTGGGTTTTAAACTATAAATATATAAATATATGTAATTTTTGTAACGTGTTTTCATTCGAAAATTCCCTGAAATAGCACGGCATTTTCAAAGCTTGTTTACAGCAGCAGATTATTAATAAATAGCATTGCTTTTTAAGGAAAATATTGAACAAAAAAACATTGAAACACAACACTGAAACTAAAACTTAAGGCTAAGCCTCCTATCTGTGAGTGTCCTGCAAAAATAACACGTTTACGGAGCGCTTCTATCCAACATACTAATTTGATATAAACACTCCTTTTCAGTGCTTGCTGTTTAACTTATAAAGCGAGGAATTATATAAGCAACGAATATCTTTAAAAGTATATAGTGTATACCTAAGTAAAATATATACATTATTTTAATATAAACAATTTAGAAACTTTTATACAGACTTAAGACTGCCATTGAATATCAACAAAGCTATGGGTGATGCATTCAATTTCTCTCTTATCTTGAAGCAACTATATTGGGAATAATAACTGCTTTTTAATGGATGCGGTTCGATTGAAAACAAATATTTGCAAAGTAGCAGCAAAGCTTTAAAATTTTGAAAAGCTAGTCAATGGTAGGCGGAGACTCTATTCTCCTCTTTCTTTTGAACAAATTGGATTTGCTTTCGGACAGTACGGCCCGCTGTGTTAGAACTCTGGTTTAGCATAGAAGTCACAAGTAGGGAGAACGCGTAAAAGCAAGTTCAAGTTTGCCATAAAAAACTGTGGACTGTAATGTGATAGAAAACAAGAAATCGACAGTTCATGAGGTGGTCGATTTATAATAATGGTGTATTACAAAGTATCTATAAATATAAAAAAAATTGTAGCAGGGCGATGGCTGTATATTATAATAGATATTAAAGATAAATTAATATGGGGAGTCTTCATTAGAGCAACAGTGTCTGTATGTTTGTACGCGCATCACTCCGAAATTAATATATGAAATCGAATGCAGTTTTCACCGATGTATTGCTAGAGGTCAAACTTAAAATATAGAAGAAAAAAAATAAAGAGTAGCCACCTGTTTGAAAATTGCATTTTAAGTGAATAGATACGACAAACAAGATTGGCAAAATATAAGATTGCGCTGATTGATGTGAAATTCGGGAGAGTGACGTGACGTCATTGCCGAATTGCCGGAGGAGAGAGATGAGAGAGATTTCTAAGTATGTATATGTTTTTTATATGTATATATATTATATAAAATCAGCTATGACGCCACACTTCTGTCAAAATTTTGAAGAGAGAGTTAGCAGTATCACAGCGGTATTCTTTTCAACATGTACGACAAAGTATATATTGGAATTAGGCTGTCAAAAGAAAGAGGTTTAAGAAGGCTTATAACTGGAAATATTTTTGTGGAAGGTTGCCACCTGTTTGAAAATTTTAATTTAATTTAATTGATAAGATAAATTAAATATTGCAATATGGGTATCAAACAAGAGGGGTTGAGAAATTTTACTCCCGAATATATTTTTGAGGGGGCTGCAACCTGTTCGAAAAATTTTATTCATTAAAATTGATAAAATAAATTAAATATTACAATACGTGTATTAAACAAAAGAAGTTTAAAAAAGTTTAAAGGGAATGTGAAAAATTGCGTCGACAAAAGTTTCCGTGTATAAACACATTCTAGCTGAACACTTTTAGATCTCGACACTTAACAAACTCCTGCCTTTCGTGACTCGGCGCAAAAATTTAAAACAATAGTTCCGTACGTCATGGCGACTGCGCCCCTCGTGCGGATGGGTGGGAAGGGAGGGTAAAACCGTTGGGATTATTATTGTCCTCCCACGCCCATCACACCACTAACAGTGCCGTTTAAAAGTCATCACTTTACCTGTACTGAATTTTCTATTGCACTTTTCGTTTCTAATTTATCACTTTCAGTTTTATACGACAATTCCGTCACTGCGACTGATTCAATGCAATCGCTCGATTCTATGCAATCGCTCAGACTCTTCGTTTCAAGTTCGATTTCAGTTTCAATTTCAATATCAGACAATGCTGCTGATGTCGTTGTTGTTGGCGAAATGGCGATCTCATTATATTTATCGGCAGAGTGTACGCTCGTGGTTGTTGTCGGAAGTGTTGTTGTTGTTGTTAAAGGTTCAATTGTTATATGGACAACATTAATATGCGCCTGCGAATGGTATAAATACAACAAGATACAAAGGGCGAAAGAAAAATAGAAAGCGAAATGTTGGTTTTGGTTTTTTTTTTCTATTTTTGCTATTAAATATTGCATGAAATATGCGAAATTATACAACGTTGTTGGTGCACACAAAGTAGCATACATATACATACATAGGTACATATGTATGTATACAATGACGAAGATGTACATACATTGATGGGTGTGAAGAGATGACTTTTGCCCAAACGAAACAAAATATTAAATGGCAGAGAACAAACACGAGGAGAAATGACCACAAAATGAAAAACAAATAAGAACATAGTATTAGCAAACATATAGACCGCTTACAAAAAATTATGCACCTATAGACTATTTATGTACGTATGTATGTATTTATATTAGCCTGTTTGTATTTCATTTTTCTTTTTGTTCTATTTATGTATGTAACACCCTTTTTAGCACTTACGAACATATACACATTTTATATAGTCTAATTATGTTTCTGTGCACTAAATTTTAAGTAAATAAAGTATACTAAAATGCATCATTCGTCACCTACTGATGCCTGCAGTAGAGCTGGTGGTGCGCTAGCTGCATAGAGTGTTGGGCAAAGGAGAGCGGCCGCTGATGACAATGCAGAGCGTTTGAACTTCAAGAATTTGTTATTCGATTTGGTGTTGCATTGGTGGTACTGTTGCAATTGAGAGGTGCAAAGCTGTTTAACGACGCCGGCGAGCAATTGAAATGTCGGTAACATATCCAGCAAACCACCAATGACACACACACGCACACTAATGACGATACATGGGTTAGCTAAAGACGCTACGAATAGGCCACGGCACTGAATTAGAGCAAAAATAAAAACATTAAAATTTTTTTGAAAATTACGTATTTGCCCACAGACGCGCCTAAATGTACATATAAGCGATAGGCGATAATTGTACGAAAATTTCACTGCAAAAGCGCTTAACACGCAAACATGTGTTGTTAACGGCCGTGATCTTGAAACACTGAACAACAGAGCACACGGAAAATGTCACCATCGATGGCCGGCTGGCTCTCAACATCGTTCATATGTGACGGTAAAATTATGACAGCCGTAAGGTGGGGAAAAATAAAGAATAAGCACAAATGCGCATTAAAAAAAAAAATAGCGGCACCTAAAGGAATGAGGTGAATTGTATACGATTTGGGAGTGACATATGAACATATATGTACATATATATATATGGATGTACACTAGAGAGGTCCAAAAATACATGCGGGGAGGGGGTTTGGTAAGTTTAAAATGTTTCGCTCTCACCCCTAGGAGTTTTCTAAATGGAAAAGAGAATGTCTGTATTTTTTTTTTGTAAAAATAAATATATATTTAGAACTGTCTCATAATAGCCCAAGAAGTTTTCCATCTACAGTCAGTCAATAAAGTTTAGGTACAGCGAATTTTTTACAATACGGCCAACTATTTTTTAAATATTTTATTTTTCGCTAATTTTTTATAAAAATGTGGTTAATTAATTCTACAACAAAAACCCCAAAAATCAAAGTTCCAAACCTAGTGCAAAATTAAAGAAAATTCTGCAAAATTCCATTCAAATATTTCACTTTTTATTTACGCTCTATAGAAAAAAGTTGAGTATGCAGTTTTTTAGCCCATTCAATTTTAGTATAATAAAGTGCAAGTTTGAGGTTGCTAGGACTTACCATTGATTTTTAGCAATTTTTTTTTTGTTGAAGGTGTCGCTCATTTTCTCCATATAAAATAATATTAAATAATTTTTTTATATGGAAAAAATGGGTGACACCTTCAACAAAAAAAACTTCCCAAAAATCAATTGTAAGTCCTAGCTACATCTAACTTGCACTTTGTTATACTAAAATTGAATGGGCACTCATACTCAACTTTTTTCTAGAGAGCGTAAATAAAAAGTGCAATATTCGAATGAAATTTTGCACAAGGTTTGAACTCTGATTTTTTGGGTTTGTTTGTTGTAGAATTAACCATATTTTTATAAAAAATTATGGAAAAATAAAATATTTAAAAAATAGTTGCCCGTATTGTAAAAAATTCGCTGTACCTTAACTTTATTGACTCGACTGTATGTTATATGGGGAAAACACGCTTTTTCGTAGAAATGGTAGAGAATTTTTGAAAATCAATATTTTATTTAAACATAAATATAATAACGAATAGTAATAAGCAAAAAGCACATTGCTGAATGGTATAAAACGCATTTGAACAGACCCATTAGGAACGAACGTGTTCGCCTAACGGAGGGTTTATTTACTAAAATTCAATAGGATACAAAACTGCATACTCAATTTTTTTAGAAAGTGCCGTATTTTTTATGTATGTAAATTTGCTGAATTTTCTTTAATTGCTTACAAGATCTCTAACTTTAATTTTTAGGGGTTTTGTGGTAGTATTAGTTATATTTTTATAAAAAATTAGCCAAAAATAAATAATCGAAAAAAACAGTTGGCCGTATTGCGAAAAACTACTCTCTATACCTAAACATTATTGATTGCCTGTATGTATTTTACTGTCTTCTTTCTAATTTTTTGCGAAAGTTGAATGTCACATAAAACAGACTCGTACGGTAAAAAAATTAAATACGATCTAAGGAGACCGCGGAGAATACAAACAAAAAAAAAACTTTATTTTATAAATAGGTAAGGACGAAACTACCAAAATATATTAAAACAGATTTAAATACGCGGTAAGTTGAAGAAAATACTCAAATAGAAAAAATAAAGATAAATTATGTATGTCTTAACTGAAAGAACAGAAAAAAGCAACAAAAAACCAAAAACCTCTTCAAAAAATTTAAAAATAATTTGACATTTATAATGTCGATGGTCATTGCATGTATGTATGTAGGTTTTGGAGCGTTGTCACCGTTTCATTCATTCATTGTCGTCATAAAACTCTGTATTTATAAAATATGTGCCGATTTGAAGACATTTAACATTGGAATATTGAATTAATAAAATAAAAATTTTCACACCTGCATACTCAAATGGCGACTATTTCGAAAATTACTCAGGTGATGAAAACATGTTCGTTTATTTTTAAACAGCGTCATAAAACAATTAACTGTAACATACATAAATCTCAAAAGTGGCATAGTGAGTGTGGGTGTAGCTATGACCTTAACAGTGACGCACTTGACAATAAATATATTTACTGCATATGTACATAAATAGGTTTCTTTTTACCGCTACGGTAAAAAAAAAACTGATGGTATTTAGTTTGTATTTTGCAATTATTATCTAAAACTTGACAAAAGTATAATAATTTAATGAAATTGTCAGCGAAAAATGGGTAAAGGCGTGCGCACTTGCAAGACTTTGTATTTATTTAACCGAATATGTAAATAGAAGGTGTAAATACATATGGAGATGTACAGTCATTAGCACCTCTATTCCAAAATGATATTGTTTTCCACTTATGTTTATTTATTTAGTTTTAAGAATTTTCAATTAAAATACAGTTCACTCTCTAACAAAACCCATATAAACCCTCAAGTTTAAAACTTTGTAGAAAACTAAAAATGCAACAAATTTTCATCCAACCTTTAAACTTTTTTGTTCGAATTTTTCTTAGTACCTATACTACAGTTTTATAGTTCATTTCCACCAAGCCTTAACTGCAGTTTATGCCTATTGGTAAGAGCAGTCTGTAACTCGAAGGTGGTAGTTGCTCATATTAAGCACATGCTAGGGAAAGGAAAAAACCAATAATCTTACTAATCCTACTAATATTATAAATGTGAAAGTTTGTGAGTGAGTGAGTGAGTGTGTTTGTTTGTAGCTCTTTCACGCCAAACTGGCTGGACGTATTTCAATGAAATTTGGCACACTTATAGGCTATGACCTGGATTAACATATTGGATATTTTTTAGGTGGGTTTGCCTCTTTTTTCAATAATTAAAATCAACTATTTATTACAGTTAGGTAAAAAGTTACAACAATTGGGGTGTCAAACAAAAGCAGTTCAGATAGGATCTATTTCAAAATTGTTTTTGAAGAGAGTTGCCACATTTTCATAAACTTAAAATCAATTTAATTAACTAGACTGCAATCAAATGGTTTTAAGACCAGCTAATTTTTCCAGGGCTGAAGAAGGAAATCTTCCAGAGTGCACTTAAACTATGGAGGGAACACTTCTCAATGCTTTGGGATAGCGACGCGCGCGTTAGACGTACATATATATCAATTTATGGAGACCAAGCTCGTGTCCCTCCTATCCTGCGTACGTTCCAAAGCAGGAGTTTTTCCGGTAAGTAATTTTGTACCGTACAAGTTAAGCTACGTGCTGAGTTAGATAACCTCTCCACAGACCTTAAAAAACTAGAAAAAAAACGTCGAATTTCGACAGTAATTGGCACATCTAGCTATTTTTATAAGGTAAATGTCTGAGATCGTTCTTTCGGGTAATAATAAATGTTTTATTTAAAATTAAAAAAAAATGTCTAGAAAGATCAACCTATATATGTTAAGAATTTAAACTCAGAAAAAGTCAACCACCCTGTTTTCTTAATACGGTGTTTACATGAGGCGATTTCACAGGCAACTTTCTGTTGAAAGCCTGGTGTGCACGGCCTTTCAACTAATCGCTTGTAATGAAGTTGGGGGGCACCCAACTTTTGATTCAACTAATCGTCTCTAAAATCGCCTCCTGTGAACACCGTTTAAGATATATGTAAATAGTACATACTACCCATTTTTCGAGCTAAAATTTAATGATTTTTTCCTGTGCTCTCTCAACTTTTACCTATCAATAATACATTTAACCTATAATTTCCTTTAATCTGATTATATTCATAACAGCTGGTTAATTAAATACGAGTGTTTTCGGGATGAATGTGTGTGAGACTAGTAGCGCTGGCGTGTGATTTGTATGAAAAAGTTTTGTTTTTATGTGCAGGTTATTTCAAATATTAAAAAAAAAAATACGCAACTATGTAGTGAAGGAGTTAGGGCGCTAAGTACATGGCTAAGAAATATTAAGACATGACTAAAAATTCAAGTGAGATATGTGTTGTGTTTCCTGTCTAGTAGTAATATATCCGTCAATAAAAGTTAGCCAAAACAAACGAAATCAACGAAATTATTTACAACATATAGAACAGCCGTTATGTGTGTGTTTTTTTTTTGCATTATTTATATACAAGAATAGTGTTATAAAGAGAATGGTGCTTGCACTTGATGATTATGGAACGAACGAGGAATTTTTTAACGCCTCATTAGGCAATTTCGGTCAATTGAAAACAAATTTAGAGAAACACAAACTTAAACAATAATTAATGAATACGTAAACAATGCAAATAAATTCAAATGAAAAATGCAATAAAGGTGAAATTCATACAAAAACAAAAGCATTAAGCTATAGTTCAAATATGTTTAGAGTTAGTGATGTTTTAAAGCGGACACTGAGTGTAATTAAAAAAAGTAAATTTTTCACAGAATTTAATTTTGTAAAATCGCACTCGAAACCATAAAAAACGTGCTTTGACAAATTAAACTTGCGCAAAAAAGGCTTTGTCGTCTCATGAATAACCACCAACAACTGCAATAAACTCATTAAACAATAAACATATCTCAACTATTAACGCCAACATAAAATGTGCAAGAAAACAAACAAATAAAAATATAAAAAACACAAAAAAATATCAATCCTAACCTCGACACAGAAACGATCACCGACACCGGTGCTGTAACTCGTTGCTGAAGCGTCGTGCGCGTACTCATCGTCATCGGGATACTCCACAATTGGCATTCCACTTGGCGCTGGCGATGGCGGCATTTCAATTATCGGGCTGCTCATATCATTGGCTGCCAACTCGCCGCCCATCAATATCACCGGCGGCATGGCCAGCACCGGACGATGATATATATTGCCCATGCCACCTGTTGTTCCAGCAACACCCATCGCCGCATTTACGTTTGCATTATTGTTGTTGACGTAGTTTTGTTGTTGATTTCTGAAACTACTTTGACTAGTTTGACGTGCCACATGCGACATGTTGTAATTGCTGCTGCTGTTGTTGTTGTTCGCCGTTGTAGCATTCGCAAAATTCGGCGCCGTCATTTGGCTGCTATTGAGTTCCGGTGTTGTCGGCATTGAACCTTGCTGACGACCCTGACCACCCTGACCACCCTGACCACCACCACCAACACCAGCGGACAGCAGCTGTTGTGGCTGCTGGGACGTCGGTTGTGGCTGGTATTGATGCAACGGCGTTGGATGTTGAGTGGGCAGTGGTGTATGATAAGGCTGGAGTATTTGCTGTGCGGCTGAGGCAATGTACTGCTGCTGCAATGGCTGTTGTTGTGGCTTTTGTTGCGACAGTTGTTGTGGCGGCGGCTGCTGCTGACGGCTGCCGTATTGGTGGGCAGGCCGTTGCAGCGTATTGGGTTGTGAGTCCATTTGATTGAGAAAATCGAATTCACGCAGTGCATTCTGTAACTGTCGTCGGTTAACAAAAAAGAGAACAATTTCGCAAAACACAAAAATCACACAAAACGATAAGGCGAACGAAAGAGGCATGAGGAGATTGATTACGTATAGACTGACTATAGGCGAGTTTAAGTACGAATATATAATTTTGGTCTTAGGTACATAAATATACATACATACAAAGAAATGGAAATTAAAACTATATACACAGCTAGATATATACATACATACTTATGTATGGTACAAAAATACAAAAATTTCATTCATAAATACATATTTATTCAAATAAATAAGACCTAGTATTAAAAACAGGCTTGATCAATCATGTTTCAACTATGAAAGGTGGCTTAAATAAGAGCATCGCCCTGAAAATCATCGATAACCCTTACTGCACCAGCTGCATGGAGGACGATGAGGTGGAATCATCTCAATACCTGCTACTCTGGTGCCCTGCCTCTGCGAATCTAAAGTTCAAGCACTTCGGTTCGCATTTCTTCTACACTCCCAATAAGCTTTCGGTAAAGGATATCAGTCGCTTGAGGCGCTTCGTGGTGAGCACGGAGCGGTTTCCATGCCTCTCTTTAAATTTAATTTTTGAATCGCCAAAAATGACATAATATATCCCAGTGTGCGTCTGGGTAGAATCTGGATAGTAGAAGTTAAACCTGCTACAGTGCCAAAGTAACGCAGCTGGAGCTTTTCCTCTGCAATGCGTGAGAGTTGTATACCGACGACGATATTCACGGGGCGAAGATGGTAATCTGGTAATCTGTGAATATCGTTAATTGACTATTTACTGCCTATGCAGTATGTTCATGGATATGCTTTCTGGCGTGCCTAGGTGGAGGTTGTGGTACCAGGTAGTTCTTGTTTGGGTGCTCAGAAACTGCTTGCCGGTACTATTTATTGAAGAAATGTGAAATAATTCATATTCGCCTTAATTTTTTTGTGGTGAGTTTTATTTACGCTTTGGATATTGTCCAGAAAATGAATAAAGTAAAATTTCATCCCGAAAACGAAGAAAAAACTATAGATTTAGTTAAATCGCAAGAATTTTTTCTGTTCTTTGTTGCACATATCAAAAAACAGCGACAAAAAAAAAACGTTGACAGAACGGAATTCTAGGTATTTAATATTGTTTTAAGATTTTCGATCAACTATTATAAATATCTGAGTTTGGTTATTTTGTTCAGAAATAGAAATTATATATCGACCTTGCAAACCATTTTTTCAAAGTCTTCTCAATTGTAGAGAAATTTTAAAGAATTCGTAAAGACTTTATTCTCATTTTTTTAATTTTCTAAAATGAAATAAACTCGGAAGAAAATCGGTAAAACAATGAAAATAAAGCCGCTAATTGAAGAATTTCTTGCAGATTTTTTTCAGAATTTCCTTTATTTTTCGTAGAGAAATTTTTTTACGAGGTCGTGTCAACCACTTCATATAATTTTTCTTTAAAGATTCGTAAAGATTTACACATTTTTTTGTATCAAAAATAAAACAAATTTTTCGAGTGTTATTTTTTCGCTATGTAATAATGATTATTTTGTGCACTAATATTTTTTGATCAGAAATATTTTGGGCTATTTTTTATCAAAAATTATATTTATTTTTGAGTTAATTTTTTTTTTATCGAAAATTAAGTAATTTCTTGAGCGTTCTTTCATCACTCAGAAATAAAAACTTGTTTTTAAATTTATTTTCTGATAAAAAATAAAACTTATAAAATAATGATTATTTTTGATTATTTTCTTTGCCCAAAACTTTCTACAGTTGAAACATGATTTCAAGCATAACCTTACAGAATGTTTACATGAGGAATGAATGAGCTAAATACAAGATCCGAGATGGATAAAAATGTGGCATGCAACAAAGAGCTACAACCGCCAGCAATAAATCAAACTATTCTAAGTGCTCCTAAAAAAATTCAACCTACGCACTCAAACGAATGACATACAGTACAACTGAGGCATAATATTTTTATTTAGTTGTAGGTAAAAATATGCTCATTGCTATTTTCCTCACAAATTTAGACTATAGAATCCTCTCAAAGATGTAATATTTTGACTGCTAAGTATCGACCTATGTAGCTCATGAAAGCGTTGTTAACTGTTTGTAAAAAAAAAAAGAAGTTATCAATATTATTTCAAAATGAATTAGGTAAATTTGGTTAAAATGTTAAAATATATTTTTGCACCAAAAATATGCCAACACCGGAACATTGACAATTACATATACGAGTACTTACGAGTATTACGTCTAGACTCTAGATATTTACAATAGCCTAACAGAAGAGAGCAACAACAAACACCAAGTTTACTGAATACAGCAACGGATTTACACAAACGATTGTACTGCACAAAATCTACAAATATTAACCAAATACTAAACGAAAATGCCAAGTTAAAACTAAAATAAATTTAATTTTTAAAACCATGACGATGTAGTTTTCTATGGTTTCTATGAGTGAAGTTTTTGTTGTTGTTGTGTGTGTGTGCTCTTGTACTTACCTCGGGATCGAGTTTTGGAGGCGCAGTGCTCGGTATTGGTGGAGGCTGTGTCTGTGTAGGTGTTGGCAACTTCGATGTGGGTCTTGAGCCCATGGACAAACCGCCGCCGCTGGCAGGTTCTGTCGACGCTGCCGCCGCCGCTACTGAGCTATGCTTGCCAGCGATTTGCAATTGTAAATTATTGTTTTTCGTAGACAAATGCTGTTGCTGCAGCTGGTTTTGTTGTTGTTGCTGCTGCTGCTGTTGCAGAGACTGTGGAGATTGTGAAGGCACTTCCGGTGGCAGCACTGCAATACCCTGCATCGACAGTGGCCGCATGCCGCTCAAACCGCTCACTTCGGGATCGGGACATTCTCCGGGTGTTTCGACGTGTTCGTGTATGCCCGCATCGGGGTCATACTCCAAATTGCGTGCTTGCTGCCCTGGTGAATAAGGCTCCGGCTCGACATCGATGGTACCAGACGAAGGCGAACGCGAAATTGGCGATTCGCTGTCGCGTGAATTGCCACGTGGCGTACCTTCGGCGGCTAAGTGTGAACTAGAAGGCGTATTGCGCTTCAGCAAACGACCCCAGGTGGCCACATTGATATTCATCTGCTTGGCACGTGGTATATTCTTTACCTGTTGCTTATTGAAGATCATGCGCTGCCGACGCAGTTTTGGTTTTTGCGATATCATTGGATTAAGGAATTTAATCTCGGCAAAGAGTAGACCTTGTGGCTCCAATTGCAGTGCCATGCCGTGCCGTACATCGTCAATGAATTCCTCTAATCTCAAGAATTTTACGCCACACAGCGAACGCCAATCGTGCCAGTAAACGCCAATCTCCAGCTCACGCGAACGATCTAGATCGATGGAGAAGCGCTGATCCCATGCCTGTTGTGAACAAGGCTTCCAAGAAGTTTGCCCTACTGTTATATTGTCTAACTTTATGACCGCCATAATTTCCGAAGACGTTTCATCCTTGACTGAATAACTTTTCGAGCTGCTACGCGATGTTACACCTTTCACGAAGCTACGCAAATCACCAGGGCTGGAGTTGTTGTCTTTGTCGCGTCTCGAGCGGCCAGGCACATCTTCCAGCAGGCCCTGACAACCCATCAGGCGCACTTCCAACTTACCCGAAACGCTGGCGCAACGCCCCAGTGAGACTTGCTGATACGGCTTGCCGCCTAGTAAGCCACCGTGGAAGGGCTGCAGCGACGTGTAGGTGACTGGAATTGGAGACGAAGCCTGCTGAACTGACTGCAGCTCGGATTTCAATTGGTGGGCGGCTGGTGAATCTACTGGCAATTCCAGACGCCGCAAGTCAAGTGAGTGCCGGAGAAGATCCAATTTACGCGACGATTCGCTAAGGCGTATGTTTGCCTAGAGTCATGGCGAAAAAGAATAAAATCAATTAGAAATCTTTTAAAAAAAAAATTACAATTATAGATGTATGGAAATATGTATGTATATGGCCAGACATGCAAAAAGCCTAACGTTTTTGGATTGGGTTTACCTTGAAATAGGTCAGAAATGTCGTGAGTGACATTCATAACTGAAAATATTCTGCTTTATTAATATTTTTCATTTGAATTGCTTTCGTGAAACTGGCTGTAAGAAAGAGTTTATCTATATTACGATAATTATATTTTGATTATTCGAATACCTGACAATATATTTTAATCTGATGCGTGGCACGTTAAATATAAATTTTTTTCCAAAAAATAAACTAATAAATAAAAAAACAAATGAAGAAATTCAAGAAATAAAAATTATTGAAAAAATTTCATCAAAATTGAAAAAATATTGCAAAAAAAAACAATAATTACAAAAATATATAAACAAATAGAAATCAGGTATAAAAAATATATTCTAATATACTTATTCTAAAAATCACGTCTAAATAGCAGCAGAATAGATTGATTGTAGTTGAATTGACATATGAAAAAGTGGACAAGGCAAAAACAGTTTACTGTTTTTCCAGCATAATTAATTTTTCATTAAAAACGGACTCAAGCTCAATAAAATTGCTGAATATGATTTGTTATTAGACCAATAAATGTCAAAAAAGCAAATCTAATATCCAGTTTCACCAATCAATTTTAAAATTTATAAGACTGCAAAAATTTAAAATGACAATTTTGTTAGGAAAATTTTTCTTTTTTGAAGTCGATAAAAAAATAAAAAGAATAAAAATAAATAAAAAAATTAAATTAAAATAAAAAATTAAAAAAACATAAAAACTTGAAATAATGTTGTTTTTTATTACCTACGTATAACAAGGTTAAAAAAAAAGAATTTTTAAAAAATTTATTTTTTCTCCACAGGTAAATGTTAATATTCTGGCGGTATTACTTCAACTTGCGGAAATGGAAGGAAAATACTTTCTCCGTTATCCTTGAATTATTTGCTGCAAAATATCACCCAAATACAAGTCCGCATAAAACCAATGCTGTGTTTAATACATAATATATGTGTAATAAGGTGGATCACTCGCCATGCAAAAAAAATAAAATATATGGTACGATTTTTCCGTCGGATTTATAAAATTTACTATATTTTAAGGCCTCCACGAAAATATTCCAGAATAATATTAAGATTTACCCGAGCTGGACCCCAAAAATCTAGTCTTTTATAAATAAAATTTTATAAACGGAATGGAAATAAACAGAGTTTTGGAGTTATTGCTAAATCAGCCAGTTCACGCAAATCTTAAAATGTTTCCTAAATATTTTGCCAAACGTCTAAAAATATTATAAATTTTATAATGCCTATGCTGTTCATTCATCAGCTCGTTACGGCATATCATTATAGAAGCAAGTGCAATGGTGTCTCCTCTGTTGAATCGCAGAAACGACAGATATCGTTCGACCAGATTCATAGCTTGTGCAGATGTCCTCTTAGTCTGCAGTGTCCAGTAAGGATGCCTGTAATGATGCTTAAGTTTTGTTTAGGGAGGTTAATTAAAAGTTTCTATCTTTTTAGATTCCATGTGACCTGGCACCCACAGTAGCTGTTCTTATAATTCTGCTAGAGCTTTGAGGTTATCATGCACCCAAGGACTAAAAATGATTTGACCTAAAAGCATGAAAATAATAAAACATTACCGCCGCACATTTTATATATTAATTTTATTTGGTACTTTTACAATTCAGCTGCGGATATTGAGGAACTTTTTTAATGCAAATAAGTCTCTCCATTTTCTTCTTAGCATTTACACAGATATTAGTATCAGAAATAATTACTTTAAAGTTTGGGTACATTAAATTATTAGATATATTATTAATCATAATCTCGGTTTTTTAAACAAATAAAATGGATATGTGTCATAAATATTTAGGTATGTTGTTAAAAGCCTTCTTAACTATTTTACATAGGTAGAGAGAGAGAGAGAGAGAGAGAGAGAGAGAGAGAGAAACGACATTACATTCAGACCTAATCGTACATTCATTTATGTAACTTAAATGCATTATCATTTTAGATAAATCAATTTCGGTTAAGACTAAATCTTATTTTAAGACTTGGCAGTGGTGTGTTCAATTTCAATTTCCTTCCTTCCATCATGTGGGACGCCGTAGAATAGGCCGCTCTCCCAACGAGAAAGCACGTCCGCGCACCTGAAAACGTTCCGCAAGCCAACGCTGACAGCTCTCACATGAACAGTTAGGATTCTTAGTTGGGCCCACGTGATGGCCGGGTTTTCGTGCCGTACTTACCACTGCGCCAAACTTTTTCGCCTTCAATAAATGCTCAGCAGTGTAGCCCGAGTAGGTCGTAGAAGCTTCGCTAACCGCGGGACTATCATGCTTCATTTCGAACCGTCGCGCGATCATTGGCGACTGGCGGAATGTTGCAGCTGAAGTGGTTGTAGGTGGCGCTTCACTGCCGGATCTTTGAAATGTCGGTGTAATAGCACCGGCGACCGTTGTTTGTGGCGAAGTGCAATAACTGCGATCTGCCGGCGATGAAGTACCGTGTGTTGACAGATTATCGCGTGTTTCACTCTTCCAGCGCTGCAAGTGTGGTTGATAGCCTGGATAAGGTGATTGTGCAGGCACTGGTGATACTTCCGACATTACAGCTCTTACTGGTAGTGTTGGTGGCATTTCTTCTATAGGGCCATGCTGTTGATTCTGCGGGCTCGGAGAGGTAGATGGGCCGAAAAACTGCAAAAAGCCGGGTCGATTACGTGGAAAGTGCGATGTCTGCTGCAGGTAGGCCGGCGAAGAACGTTGTGCAGCAGAAGTAGTTGACGCTGCACCCGGATACGTATAGTAGATGTCAGACGCCTCTGAAAAGTTTTCAGATTCAGATGGCAGTGTATCGTGCCGCGAAACAGGCGTAGTAAATGGTGAGTTGTGGTGCGAGCTTACTTCAGATATCGGCTGTAAGAAAGCAGACTGCATATGACCACGCACCGGAGAACCCGATAAGGCTTGACATCCACCACGTGGCGGCTCTTCTATAGAAGATGTGCGTGACCAGAAGCGCTCCATTTGTTTTATACGTAACCGATCGGTTGTGTTCTCGTACTCGAAACTATCCGATTTTGCCAGTGAATACATTTCTTCCTGATCATCACCCTCTTTCCAAGAAGAGTCAGCGGGGTACTCAGCTTGCGAAGAGGTAACAATACTTGAAGCAATGCTGCTGCAAGTAGCATCACGTACAGTAGAACGCGACGAGTTGGGGTAATTTGAGCTGATTGCATCGTCACTAGGTTGACGCATGTACTTTTGACGAAGTGCCGCCAATTTCGCTGCGCGCTGATCGCCAATGTGTTTGCGAAAGAGTAGCTGCTTGGACTCGGATACCTCCTCTGCAGTGCTGGATTTAGTGATGGCATGCCCTAAATTTAAATCGCCTGCTTGCGGGGCTTGTGTGTGCGCTTGCTCCACTGACCGCTTTTCGGTTTGTTGCCAGCGGCGTGGTAGTGTCTGGCCGGTGATGTGTTTATGCTTCAGCAGGAGCTGTTCGTTATCGAAGACAGTCTGTGGCGTGGAATTTGATTCTAAATCATGATGTTTACTCGCATTTTCCTCATCGGAACTAATCGATGCTTCAGCATCGGCATTATCACCTTCGTCTTCGCCTTCAGCGCCCTCTTCCTCATCTTCTGATCCAGTGCAATAAACGTCAATGTGAACAGTGCGAGGTTTCTTCAATGGCTCTGTAGAACTCGACTTTTGTTTGGAGGTGAGTGCTTGCTGCTGTTGTTGGGAGCGTGTCTGTTCGGACATTGTTGGTATCCGCGGCATTGAGGCAGACTTGAATGTATGCGATGGAGACGTTAAAAACGAAGGCTGCGCGCGAATAATTTGAAATAAATTGGAGATGTTAATAGATTTGAAGTAAAGTTGTGGCAAATCAAAAACCGTATTGCTGTTCGTTCAGTACATTCAGTGAAGGTAAATAGGCTTTCACCGCCCGTCAGTAGATCGTTATTTAAGATTTATTTCTTTGTGTCTATATTTTCTTTCGTAACGACACCCTGTATATACACCTCCCACCGACAAAGGTTGATAACTAATTTCAAGAACATTTACCATAGCCACAAAGAGAAGTATGATGTTTTGGCGGCAGCCCTTATCGAACGACATGTTAAGTAAGAACTGGGGTCTACGTCTTGATCTTACGTATGTGCATGATTCGCTCAATTATTGTATACGGTTCGCTAGTTGGGTGGAAAGCCGTGGAGACGAACTTATGTATTATATAAATACCCACAATGTAACCCAGGGTACAAAGGTTAGCCTGCAATGCGCTTACTGGGGCGATTAGATCATGTCCAACGGAAGCCTTGAATGTCGTCTTTTCATATGCCAGATTGCCCTAAATTTTAAGGGAACTGCGTGTGTGGTAAGAACGTAAAAATTCTAACAACTGTACTCTTGAGCTCAATATCTCCATCTAGCAAAGTTGAAGGCTTCTGCTTTTACTAAACGCTTCGAAGCTTCTGTGTTTACGAACAGCTGAAAATGGATTGCGAAGAGAGTGTGAGCTCCCTTCTACTACTTGTGGACTTTAATTGGAAAAATGGGCCTCGGGTCAACTCAGCCATGGCTGGTGAAAAGTCGGAGCTTACATTAATTTGAGGCCATTCTGGCCGAGCGTATAAGACCTGTATGCTCTTAGTTTGAATAACTGATCTGACTTAGCCAAAGAGATATGCGACCAGGGAACCTTTGCTGCTCTTGATCACTCCACTATTCAGGAGCCGCATGATAATATCTTATCTGTAGAAAAAGGAATTAAACCACTTGAAGATGAAAGACATTGACATAGAATTGTTCGCCGAAAGCGGAATTGTGCGCCTAATGAAGACAGTCAAAAAGTGAAGCAGAAAAAACCACCCATTCTAGCCTCTCTGGTAACCTTGTGGTCTGAAACCTTTACCTTTTTCCTCGTAAAAGCGACTATGCAATGCAGTACTCATCTCATAAGTATGTATGTAAGCATGAGTAAGCAGTAATCAAAAGTTTTGTCGGTCATACTTGGTCAAGTCAAACGTTTGCTCTCTTGCATTATGCAAGAAAGACAAAAAAACTTACCATAAATGAGTTTGCCTCGTCCACATAAGAATCACCGCCACCAAAATGGCTGCTGGGCGCCTGGAGTAATCCTTCTGTTGTCGCGCGACGTTGCTCATAAATCTTACGTCCTTTCTGCTGTTGCTGGTGCTGTTGTAGGGCTGCACACCGATCAATTGGACTACGACTATTCGCATAACGACGTCGTTCATATTCACGTTCTCGTTCTTCAAAGTATTTCGTTTCCGTATCGCTTGTTTGTGAAAAGGCATCTCGTAAAGCCAATACTTTGCCAAATGCGGCCAAATTCTTCGAACCGGCAGATGTTGTAGAATCAATCGACTAAACAATTGAAAAGCAGCAAGCCATAAAATCAAATATAAACAAATACAAAGTTGGGCATAAGGCAACAAAGAGTGGGTGAGGGTGAGGAGATATCGAGTACCTTTGAATAAGTAATTTGGATACTTTCACAAAATGAGCAAAACAAAATGTAATGTTCCAATAAAAACTATAAGACTCATGTTAACCTACTGTTCGATGCTATTTCTTGCCAAATGCGAATGAACTCCCAACGCAAGTGCAAAATCATCATCAGTTCTGTGGATCAGTATTCTGTACGCTCGTACGAGTTTAGATAGCGTGCCAATTTTCGCGAACACGTTTTGCCAATGAGGCGAAAATTAAAAATAGCATTGTGCGAAAATGTTTGTTATAAAAACAACAACAATGTTCAATAATCATTTATTGTCTTCAAGTGACTGCTGAGCGCACTGAGCAAAATAATTAATTATACATACATATACATATGTATGTACATATATGCGAAACCGGCTGATGAGTGGCTAAACGCGGGAGTGTGAGATCCGCTTAGACAGCATGGAGATTAAAGCGGATAAATCACAAAAATGCTTGCTATGGCGCGTGTTGGCGCTTAAGTACACATGGAGACAGATGAATAAGATTGAGTAGAACAGATAAGCCACCCGCGGATTCGAGTGTTACCTGGGCATTAAGTAATAAATTCTAAGTAGAATTTCCTCACCAACTCTATGCGATACCATTTTATGCTAATGCTGTTGTTTGCGCTTTTCTTTAAATTACCCTTTGCGGTAAAACAGTGTACGACGCCGTTGTATTGAATACAAATGGATCAGCCTCTTCTTCAGGTATAAAATCCGTAGCCGTTGCCGTTGCCGTTACATGAGTTGTCGTTCCGCCTCCTCCTCCGCCGCCTCCTTCGCCGCTACCGCTGATTAAATCATCATTTGCCGCTGCGTCGAACGCTGCGCTTGACGCTGCATCCGCAGGTAAGAAGTCTGCAACGGCTGATACAACAATGTTGCATGTACTGCGACAACGTGTACCGTAGAGTGCGCCCAATGTGACGCCAGTCCCATTCGGACCGCTGCTTGCGGTTTGCGGCTGGCGTTGATAGGGTCGTTGGCGTTGCTTTGAAGTATTCGAACCGCTGAAAGCGGAATCACCGCCGCCTAAATCAGCGTTAGTTGACGAGGTTGTCGAACGGAAGCTTTCGTGCGGCTGTTGCTGCCAGCGGCGAGTATGTTGCGCGGTCTGCGGACAAAATCAAAAGCAGTCATACACAAATCATTGATTTATTTAGTTACGCATGCAAGCGGAGTGAGTGTGCTCACCTTTAACGGCGTCGATTGCCGTGATCCACGACTGGCAAATGAGTTACGCTTGTGTAGCGTTGATGAGGAAGAATTATCAATATCCACATCATCTTCGGGTGGCAGAGTGGAATCAAATGTGGACCACTTGTATACGACGCGCACCGGATTAACGGGATCATTTGAGCTAAATTCACGCTGCACTTTCTCGCCGGCACGTGCAAATGTTAGTTGTGCGCGTACCGTCCACTCTGCGGTCAGTTCATGTGGCTGCGGTGGCAAAGATGTTGCGGCTTGAGGCCGCCGTTGACTCTGGCCAAAGTCTGGCGAAGCACCAGCGCCTGCCTCTCCGTGTTTGTCGTCACCACTGACGGTATGGCGGGGCGCTTTACCCGGTAAGCCCGACTTCGCATCATCATCACTCATAGTCGCTGGAACGAAACCGGTGTTATTTGTCGGCACATGTGCATTTGTGTATTGAAATGTGACTGTTTTCGAAGTCAATCAATCACTGCGATTTTATAATTTTCGATTTTCATTAATTATTTTTCTACACACAATTACACTTTTCTCTAATAGTTTTTCAGCACACATCTAATTGCAGTCAATATGAAGACTTGGTTTTTATAAAATGGAATATGTTTTTTTTTGGATATAAAAAACATACAACTACTTCAGAAAGTTTCCGACAATTTCCCATTTATTTCACTTTGGTTTTTTGTTATTTCATTTCATGTGAATAACTAAAATGATCGCGCACGTCTATACAATTCACTGTCAACTTAATTTCTTAATTAAAACATCCACCGGCAGCAAAATGAAAAATTCTTTCTATATTAAATACTTTAAATACTCCACATCACATTGCACCAGCTTCATCCTTACTCATTAATTTCATCGACATCGACATTTTATGAAAAATTCGCATTTCATCTGAGTCAACTCTAGAGGAGTTTCGTCTTCCACCATCGATGACCACGGCTAAGAGAAGCAATAGCAGAAAATCCGAACGGCCAAAATCTCAGCAAAAATTATGGATGGAACACATGTTAAGTATCCATACGATCCTACCACCGTACAAGCTAACAAAAAAACTGTCTTCCTCCTTTGAAAAATAAACTACATTTTTCAATGACACCTACACTGGCGATCAAAAGTGAGTGCATGGTCATTTGGTTAAATATTTGCTTTGTTTTTTTCAAGTTTAAATTTTTTATTTTTTGTTTTATAAAAATATGTTTAGTCTGAATTTTTAGAAAAATTCTGGGTATGGGATGTACCTCCTCGGTAATGTAATTGTATTAAAATGAATGTAAGTTTAAAGCGGCTGAAAAATCGCGTTGATTTTTAATGATGGGGTCATGGGGTGACTCCGCATGCGGGCATACATACGTTAGGCACATCTGAGTTTATCCTACTCAGGCTGGGGTTTAATTTGTTGGGAATATCCAGAGCGGAGTTTTGCCAGGATGATCCGAGTCTCCCGAGGCAGACAAAGTTCTGTCTCGTCCAAGTCGGGTGATTGTGTTCCGAAAACTGCATACACAGGACGGGAATTGTTGCACATTGAAACCGACGTCTTGTGAATGAGGTTTATGGCCTGGCGGTACGTTGTCGGGTCCAGTAGTTCTTTTATGAACATATCGTCGATTAAAGTACAAAACCGCGTATCGTCATTCTGCAAAACCGCGTAACTGACATTGGCTGCCAAAAATTGGATTTGCTCACACAAGCTCTTGGCTCAATCCTTATCTATTCGTCCTGAAATATACTAGCCAGAAATGCGATTGCTTTACAAATAAGAGAACCATTTTGAAATATGCGTGTTTTTACGCTCTAGAAAATAATTTCTACAACTTCACATACGCGGTTTTGCATTTTGCTGATACGCGGTTTTGCATTTTGTTGATACGCGGTTTTGCACTTTGAACGACGATATGAATCTCGGCGGTCGTTTCTTATAAATGCCTTTTGACGTGCCTTGGCGAGGGCTCGACCACAAGCAGATGTCTGTACGGGTGTCCATGTCGGGGGCGCCTAACTGCATGGATCTGCTTGCACAGCATGGTACTGTACTTCTTGACGAGGAGCATTTGGACCTCGTCAAGTAGGTGGTCTTCTGACGACATCAAAAGATATCCCGTGGCTGTCCGGAGTGCCGTGTTTTGGCAGTTAGTTGAATTTTGTTTACTGTTTTATCAGGAACATTACTTGCTTCCATTTTTATTAATTAGTTGAGTAATTAAAAAAATAATTTACGCGTCATTCGAATAATTTTTCTTTGAATAAACTTAATTATTTATAATTTACGAATAACGTCTTTCGAATAAATTTTGCCCAACTCTGTGGTGTGTTAGGGTGATAACAACTGAGCTCTGGTGGGCAAGTACGGGGTACTTGAGGTCAATGAACTTTAAAACAAACAAAAAAATAGCCTCGAGACAAAAACATCGATATATCATACTTTATGATCCAAAATGCCGAATATATGACGAAAAATTTAAAAAAGGGGTCAAAATAAGTGTTGTAAATTCTAGGGACGTGATTGGGATTTGAGCCAAACTAACAGCTTTTTTCTACTAATTAATTAAACTATTAACCGAACCGAAATTTTCCACAAATCTTTGATTTGAACCGAGAACCGAACCACATTTTATAAAGGTCGCTTCTAGCAATTTTTAATAGACAAATTTTCGCCACTTTTTATTTATACTTTCGTTAAATATGGTAATGGCATGTTTGTTTACTATCTGACCATTTTTTTCTGTTTCTGTAGTTTGCGGTTGCTGGGGTGTCAAGCATATACTTAAAAAATATAATAATAATTAGGCTAAGCACATAAAATTAGAGAAATTGTTTGCAATAGTTTAGCTATTTTGAAATTTCCTCAGCAACAATAACCAAAAGCAAAAGCTTCCTGTGTGCGTAAGAAACTACGTATATTTGCCAAAAAAATAAAAATATAAAAAACAGTTTCGCCCATAATAATGTGTTTAAAAATACAATATTTTTACGCATTTTGCAACAACATCCGCCCCGTCCGACAACAACAGCTGCTATAGCTTTCAGTTGTGATTTCGCTGCCAACAAAACCACTCTCGTTTTTCGTTTACAAATTTATAGCAATTTAAGATTTTTTTGTTTAATATACATATGTACATATGTATGTACGCCTCAAAATACTAAGTATTTATTTTACAATTTTGTTGGCAAGCAAAATGGCTAAGAAATATTTACATACACTCAGTACACCTGAAATAAAAGGCTAACACACATTTTTATTAGCTATGCTATGTTAATTTGTATTTTTCTTGCACTCATCGGCATTGCATTGCATTTTTAGAACGCAAGATTATTTTAAATTACAGGTGCAAATGTTAGAAATTATGTTTCGTAGAGAGAGAGAGAGAGAGAGAGCGAGCGAGACCGAGCGAGTGAGAAGAGAAGTAGCTGGGTGGTGAGGTGAGGGGGGCAATTCGACTTTTGAGGTCACATATAAAAATAAATCGCCGTCAACATATGCGAATATGCGTACATATCTACAACATTGCTACATAGTACAGTGGTAGTCAAAACATAAGGAACTTGTGCCGAATATTTTACAAAAGCTGACCAATACTAGGTTTTAAGGTAAAAACGGTTTTTCTTTTGGCTTAGTACTGAGAGAGTATGTAGGACTTTTTCATCAAAAATAAAATAATATCTACTTACAACTCCGTTATTATCTATCAATGACAGAGCTTTGTATTGGCAGGGTATTTACGTTATTAAATTGCTAAAGAAACTCAAACGAATAGCTTTCCATTCGTCATTCTATCCTGTGAAGAATTGCTCATATTTGATGAAGTTTTTACAGTAGACCTTGTATGAGCTTTGATATTTAGGCCGATCACTTTAAAACTTGCTATCTATTCCTCATCAAAGACAAGCATAACAACTTCGAAATGTTTTATAGAAACCCATAGATCCACAGAAAACACAGCCACAATTCCTTTTTCGCTTACTACGCGAACTTTCTTCAGCTTTTTTATGCTGCTGAAATTAGTTTTTAGGACATTCGATTGGAATTTTATTGAAATAATGTTTTGTCGAGCATACCTCCGAGTCAAATAAGAATGATTTCAATTTACTAAAATATCAAACCAATTTATAAACTAAGCAAGAAAACTTGCTACAAAGTAGTAATAAGTTTACTAGTTTTTGTAAACTATAAGTAAAATCTTCAAAAGCGGCAGCTATTTCAGTCAGTCCCGAAAACATCTAGAGTTGCAGGCCTGCCAACTTGACTCCAACCGCGCCATTTTTTCCCCTATTTTAATTCAAATGACAGCTAATTTTTCAAATAAGGCACAAGTTTATACTACTAGTCTTAGTATCTCATTTTGGCGTTTTTTAGAAATGTGGGTTTTATTTTATTGCTCAATGGGAAGGAAATTAAATTTGTTAAAAATAATGGCAGCTTATTCTGCACTGCAATTTTTTCTATGTGACACATTTTTTATCATCAATACGACACCAGGTTCAATAGTAAAAATAGTGAATAGTTATTTTTGAATATTTCAAAGTGCAATGAGCCGACTAAATATCAACTCAATATTCAAAGCCAGTACATATTACTCAAATAAGTCATAAGATATACATACTATGTAGATCGAATTTTATAAACGTAGATGTAGTTCCATACCCTGCAGTGAAAGGCCAAACCAGTCAGTAAAAATACTAGCTCATTAACTAGTATGTGCTAAAGCGATGGTACGGCAGTTCGACAATTTCGAAGAACATAAGCGTTCAGCGACATATGCCTTTGAATTATCAAAACCAAACCTAAAACGCAATTGATTGATTTTCTTACAAATGTCGGCTGTGGCACCACTTGAATACTATCGGTTCAGGTGCCTGAGATCGAAGGTTCGAGTCCACTTGGAGGTGGTTAAGATTTTTTTAATTAAGTCAATGTAAGGAAATATAATTATTTCAGCTTAAATATAAATATATAATTTTAAAAATTAATTTCATTGCAGAAAAAACATGCACATTGAAAGACATACTTGTGTCATAAAACAAGAAATTGATAAAAAATATATATTTTTCTTATTAAAGTTTAAAATTACAATAAAAAAACGTAAATTAAAAAAAATTAAAAATAAATATAAAATAAAAAAAATAAATAAAAAAATTAATTTATTAAAAAAATAAATTAATTAAAAAAATAAATTAATTAAAAAAAAATAAAAAAAAAATAATAAAAACTAAATAAATTTAAAAAAATTAAAGAAAAATAAACTAAAAATAAAAAAAAAAACTAAAAAATAATAATTAAAAAAGAAACAAAAAAAAATAAAAAATAAAATTCCTGTGGTAGGGATTGAACCGCGGACTTCAGTAATACTACGCCAGTGCTCTGCTCTGTCGGCCATTGCGACTGTTGGAGCGCCGCGAGCAAAATGCCATACTTATGATTTTCACGGGCGATGAATTGGCACACACGATCTCATCAACCGGTATGATGCTACTACTATTTCTACTAGCAGATCCTGATGCATAGCCTGACAATTGACATCGCCATGCTAAAAATACCAGTCGCTAACATTGAAAATGGATGGAACGTGCTGGGCTGGGCATTGGGCTGAAAAACAAATTGGTAGTATTCT